CAACATCATAGGGGGGATACGGTTTGCAAGGGAACTCGTCGAAAAATTGATCTAAGGATTATTTGTCGAGAGAAGGACATCGAGCTTAGATCAATTTTTCGACGAGTTCCCTTGCAAACCGTATCCCCCCTATGATGTTGCAAAATGAGCATACGATCCGACTGACAAGCTGACTAACACACTTACCATTTGAGTTGAAGTAGTTGCTGAACATCAGAGAAAATTATGTCCAGTATAGGGCCGATGATCTTGACTATATAGTCCATCTCGGATAGATTTTGCTTCTTGCCCTCCTTGCTCACGAAAACGTGAGGGTCCCTAAGGAACATGTCCAGGCTAATAAGAAAATTAAACACAATTTCAGTATGATATGAGGTCACAGATACACACAAGCAGTTACAATACGTACACAAAAAAATAACATCTCATCACTTGTTGATATAAACATTCTGTTGGCTGATCCAACATTCTACCCAGCACGAATTTTCGCGCCTCATAATACTGATAAGATGCGCAACACTGAATCATTTGGAAGAAACTAAATTACTCTGAGGTTCAACACGTCAACATGTAATTTGCATACGCACCTCCATGATTTTTTTGATGTCAGTTGTAAGAGGGTCTTCAAATTTCCTGATCGTGATGTTCAAGTGTTCCAATGCTCTGGCTTTGAGGGCTGACCAATGCTCCCCAAACCATTCGTACATGCCTCCTGGGAATTCTGAGGACAGATCGATGATCGACGAAAGGCCAAGACTATGACAGATATCCAACAATTTAGTTTGAATTTATGCTGTGAGTGGCAGAGGGGAAAACATACCGGATAACGCTAAGGGCACATGCATCTCGTTTTTCCGAATGCTTTACTTGCTCTATGGCCTTTGAGGTCATAGAAGATAGCACATTCACTATCTTTTCCCCAGTCTCTAACATCCATCCTCCTTTCTCATTGTTCTCTGTGAAGATATTCGAGTCAAAGTCGATGCCAATATCATTGCCGTCGTCGTCCGAGCTGCTGCTAAAATCCTCCCCATCATCATCCTCCTCGTGCTCGCTATCAGATGATTCGCATTCGTGCAAACGGATTCTCAAATGCTGGGCAAAAAAAAAAGGAATGTTGACCACTTAATTCCCCGATCATTTTCAACGTGTCTGAATATTTTCCCTTACCGGCCTATCTTCCGGCAAATTCCTTAATTTTCGCTTGCCACGCACCACAGGAGAAGGCCTTGATACGTTATATGTAGGCCTTGGAGGTGACATCTTTGGTTTAAAAAAGAAATTATATTAGACAGGTATCATCACAATGAGCTCATGATAACAGAAACCTCTTGAATTTTTTCTTCCCATAATGTTCAACTGCAGTTCAGAACTTACTATGTTTTTTGTTACGGAAGCAGACAGCACTTCGGCTTCCTCATCTCTTGGCTAAAATTAAGGATAGAAAGCAAAATAGAGTTATGGTGAGTTATACCGTTTCTGCTCATAAAGCGTATACATGCATAATGTTTTCTACATTTACACGCACTTGTTTTGGCAAAAACGAACTTGAGACTTCTCGCATAACCACCGAGGAAACGAGTGAGCCATTGGTTTTAGATTCCCTTTCGACATCTCTAATAACTTCGACTTCCTCTTGGTTGTTCTGCTCACCTAAAACGTCGTCGCTGTCTCGTGTAACTAAATTCCTGCGTATTCGGGGCTCGTATGTGGTGAGCTGGTCACAATAAAGAGGTTAGAAAAATACAATTCAGAAAAGGGTCTCCTACAAACGAGTTCACTTCAGTACCGGTACGTACCGCCCGACCGATAATGTTAAGGTGCCCTAACGAAGCCGTTCGTACTGCAGCTTTTTCTTCTTCCCTCTGTTTTCGCTCTTCATCAATTCTCTTCCAAAATCCAGAAACAGCCGCTGACTTTTTCTCTACCTTTCAAGAGAGGAAAATAGTAAGTACAGGAGTAAGAGTGAAAAATTACATTAGGCATTACGGCTTTGTAGATATGGATCCAGATCATCCGAGCCAAAAGATCATCACAAGAACAGCCATAAGATGTTCTTGCTGGATGAAATGAAGTCCGATATCCGAGGATCTCAGCCGAACCAGAAGTTCATCACAAGAACAGCCATAAGATGCTCTTGCTTGGCTAAGCCCAAACCGATCTTCCACCGAACCAGAAGTTCATCACAAGAACAGCCATAAGATGTGCTTGTTAGGTGAAAGATTGGAAAGTCGTAAGCCTAAAGAAGAAAAAACAACCGCCTGACCTCAAACTTATCTGTAACGACAGCGATCTTTGCGTTGGCTTCATGGTTCACAATTTTCTGAAGAGTGGCCAAATAACCATCGTGCTCAAGCCGGCAATCTTCCGTAAAAGAAGATTGTTCTTCTCGCCGGGTAAGATAGTCGTAAAGGTAATTGTCAGAATTGTTGTTGAGTATGGCCCGGACGATTACTGCCCTGTCCGTTGCGTCCATTTTGGATAGAAGTCGCGTTTTGGAAACCAGATTATCAATCCAAATCCAGCACTATAATTGGGCGGAAAGTGTGATCACGTGATGATGACGACACGCGCCTTTCCTTCGATGTAAAATCACATGTGACTGCTTTGGTCAGAATATAACGATAAGCTTTTTGAATAGTGCAAATGGTTTGCTCGCGATTAGAAGAAACCATGTATTAGTATGTCTTTTTGAGTAGTTGAAAATACGTTGCAGCAAGTGTTTTTGTTTTTGGAATGTGAATTCATCTTGCTTTTATACACGAATGCTAGTCACATTCGCTTAGAACTAGCAATAGATCTAAAATGTCACTAAAATTTAGTCTTAATTAGTGCATGAGCCACAGCTATAAATTAAGCAAAGCCTTACCAAAATTTCATCAGCTAAATTAGTTCATTTTCTAGTCACATCAGCCTATTTTAACTCACATAATCAATGTTCACTTTGTCTGGTTTTGTTGCAGTCTGCCTCATATAAGTTAATAAATAATAAATACTATATAAATAATGATAATTATAGTAATAGTAATTGTTGTAAATGATGGTAATTACAGTAATTGTTGTAAATAATAGTAATTACTGTAATTATTTATAAATTATTAAAATTATAAAAGTTATAGAAATTTTTAGTCGTAACAACGCTATTTATAGGTTTAAAAAAATACATTAGAAAAAAGATTTTTTTCTTGATAAAAATATTGACTCAAAAACTTAAAGATCTTTTTCATGTGGGTAAACTTCTGAATTTCAGACTTTTATAATTATCACTAGTAGAAAAAAACTTAAGACACTCTGTAGATTACTGGAAACATGACCAAAACATGTGGCAAAATGTGAGTAATTGGAATATTTACTATATCAATAGTATATCTGGAGTTTTCAAAGCACAAGTACATAATGCTCTTGCTATAGAACTGAGCATTATTCTTAAAGCACTTCCACCAAAAAGTTGTAATTATTACAAGACAGTGGATTTAAACTAATTAATATACTTAATTAATTAATATGTCTGATTATTTAAAAAATAAATTTTTATTGCTAATTAAGATAATATACTCATATAATAAGAATAATATTATCATTTTATATAATTTTAAGTATTGTTATATGAATCACATATAGATAACATATAATCTAAGAGTTTGTATGAATTATCTTTTGAAGTGAAAGAGATTACTAAGTTATTCAAAGTTAAATAACATATATTTGTTTTTATAATTAGCTAAAATGAGACCAAAAGTATTCAAAGATAATTATATTCTTTTAAAAGTTGATTTATAAACAAGTAAAATATAACTTCTTTTATTAATTCAATTATATACTATTAACTTTGCAATATAGATAAAAGGTTAAATATAAATATTATAAAAAGGATAACTTTACAATATAAACAAGAGATTATAAATCAAATAATAAGAATCATTTCATAATTAAAATGAAAGATTATATAGAAATTTATTTTAGTTTTTCATTTATTTTTATTGCTACTATATATTTATTATTTTATATATAATACTATAAATAACCAATAATATAATAAAACAATTTAGAATTATTAATCAATTTTAAATTAATTTTAACAATTTTAAAAATTACTAATTTTAAAAAATCAAATTGCTTAATTATAATAAGTAACTCTTTTTAAAATATTGTTATAAATAAGTTTTATTAATAATTTATAAATAAAAATTATCTGCAAAATTAGCAATCTTTCTATAATTATTTTGGTTCTAAAATAATTTTAAATTTATTTTAAATTCTATATTTTAAAAATTTTAATCTTTCAAGAAGTTTTATTACTTATTGCAATAAGTAACTTATATCAAGCTATTATTATAAACAAGTTTAATTAGTAACTTGTAAGAAAAAAATTATTTCTAAAACTAATAATTTTCATGAAACTATTGAAACCATTTGAAATCACTTAATAATTCTAATTTTTATTAACAATATTTTTATTGGAATTAAGTTGATCCAAGCTATACATGCTGAATTTGGAACATATAATTTTTAGTTCTATTCTTTATGCTTGTATGCTTCATGCATTATTTAAATAAAGTTTCTGTTAGCACAAAATAATTTTTACAAACTCGAGTTTAAGTGTGAGGGAATTTTTTGATGATGTTCGCAGTTTCAAGTTTGACAACAAGATATATATATTGAAAAACTGTCTACAAGTGTATCTCGTTATATTAATTCATTTTGCGAGCCAGAATCGGATAAGTCTTCATATAATAAAGAAATTTGTTTCTATCTAGGCAAATATGAAAAATTATGCGATGAAAATCTATTAGCATTCTTGCGGGCAGATGCATATAAACAATCCAATTCTTCTGATAAAAGTGATCAAACGATATTGATAATGACTCGATTGAATCAAGCGACATTGATAATTAAAACCAGCCCTGCATGATTGTGAAAAGGGAAAGTAACTTAGCAATACACAAAAAAAAAACAGATAAAAAACACAAAAAGATCTTATGAACTACCAGGCCAGGTAGTGCTTGGCAAACAAAGAGACGCATGGATGCGTAAACAGATATCAATTATTAATACTTAGCTTTGGAATTGAAGGATATTCGTGGTAGTTTCGGAAGATGTGTTGGGACGAATTTATGTGACAAAGAATTTGATCCCTTGAAGTTGGCGGACGAAGATACATAATGAAGATGAGAAATTACAATATTTGATCTCTGGCAACACAGTTGGAGAACGAGATTATTGACTTTGGTTTAGATATATTCATTATCCTAGAATATCATTGACAAAAGTAATAATTATCTTTTAGATTTTTCTATAATTTTATTGAAGACAAAATCTTCTTGATAAAGATGATAATATTAATGATAATTGGTACTACTTAAATAAGAATATTAATTAAAGTGCCAAAAATACACGATAAAATTATACAAAGAAAATAAATCTAATTTTTATTAAATAAAGTGAATGTCCATCGCCCCCAAATAAAATTCTGAATAATAGTGAGTGTCATCCGTGATTCCAACCCCCTGTAGACGAATACAACATCTCATCATCAACTAACATCGTAGTGTCAGTAACCCCTGTACCAGCGGTTCCTTCACCATCAACTACATTAGAGGATGTGACTCCAGCAGTCGAAGATCCAAAAAAGTAGTCATCATCACCAGTTAAAAAGAATGATTGATCATCCCACGCTTGTGGAGTATTTGCTGGAATTTGATGCTGCTGATGTGTTTCACTGTTATTGTTGTTGTTATTATTATTGTTAGTATTATTATTATGGAAATGCATTGATTGATTTTGTGAAAGGAACGATGTATTTGTAGGTAAGGAATACATATTTGATTGAGATAATTGTTGCAATTGTTGTGATTGTGTTATTGATGACGGTGGTGATTGATGATGATGTTGTCGTTGTTGCGGTGATATTGATTGTTGTCGTTGTTTTTTTAATAAATGATTATACATCGGAGATGATGTTGATAATCTTTGTTGATGTGAAGATGAATTAATGTCATCTGCGATATTCATAATTGCAGCAGCGTCAAATTTCGTAAAATCATCTGTAACCATCATTTCTTTATCCTCAATTGAAGAAGCATTAGTCGAAGAAACGGGTGCTGATTCTCGACTATTATTATTGTTGTTGTTATTATTATTATTACTACCTTTGTTGTTGCTGTTGTTTACACTATTCGATGGATTTAATGTTGAATTATTCATAGAATATGTTGGGTTATTATTGCTATTATTTATTAATTTATCTTTTCCTAATCGTTGATTATTATTGCTACTATTATTGTTGTTATCATGACGATTATTATTGCTGTTGTTATTTACTCCGATTCCCGATGATCCCATCGTAATAGCGGAATTATCTAGCCACTGGGCGGCCAATCTGAATGGAACCATAATATCGGTGCCAGAAGAAGAAGATCCGCCATTGGTAATCTGCACCAACCCTTCCAACTCTTTCACCGAATCTCTTAAACGAAATATGGTACTATGATCCGCAATGAATCGTAATTCTTCCATGGAGTCATTGAATGCTTTCTTGGCGTTCTGCGAATATTCTGGTGATCCGTTCATGATCACCAATTCCAAGACGGTAGACTGAAAGACTCCGTAGATTGAATATTGGAAATTGTTAAATGAGTATTTGTCCTGTTGACGTGTTACTTTTGCAATGTCGGATATTGTGATCGCTGCTGATAAACACGTTTTCACCGGTCCCTGATGCAGAACTGATGAATTTTTTGATTTTCCAATTCCTCCTGTTGATAGGAATGAATTAAGTGAAGCTTTCGCGTTGTGTGTGATGTACGGTTGATGTAACAAAATAAGACAAGTATGAAACAGAATGTTTATATGTCCAGCAAACGCTGTAAAACTCGCCAATTGAAATAGCGTACGCTGATCAGTAGACGGTAAATATTGATACTGCAGGTCCTCCGGTAATTCTTGCAACCATTTCGCCAAACTTCCTCTCAATTGACGTAGAGTGCTTTTATGATCCGTTGCATGATCTAACCAAGCTGAATGCGTCGCTTTCGGTTGTGACGAATATCCAAATTTCCAGATTTGTCCCAAAATTCGTGATAGTTTTATAAGTGCCGTGAAAAAGTATCGTGTTAATCTGTTTGCGGATGGTAAGGTTGGTAAGGGAACGTTGATGTTTACGTCATCGATCATGTAAGGTTTACCGAGCACAAACGTTGTCCATCTTTGATGATTTATTATGTAATCAAAAAAGGATAACAACAATTAGTTCATGATTTTGACAAAATCACAGTGATGTAATCATAATCAAACATACCTATCAATGCAATATATGCAGTAAAAGACGCGTCTTCTTTCCTCTTCATCTTCCAGTGACATTGTTGGTTCATTCTGTGATAATCTTAGTACATTTGCCATTTGTACTTTATTGGAATATTGATTAATGAATTAATTAATTAATTATTAATAATATTGGTATTAACCTTAGTATAAAAAACAACATACCAGCCATTCCAGTATACAAAGATGCAGTATCCAACCGATCTAGACTACCTTGTGTATACGATAATAAAATCAATGCTTGACATGTTTCTATTCTAGGTACATCGTACAATCCGTCAAGTAATGACTAAATCATTAAAAAACAAGATTCAAATAATCAGCACGTATAGTGATGATAATAGTGATGATGATGGTGATGATGATGATGATAATAATAAATAATAAATACATACCTTTGCAGCATCGTAAAACACTCCACCAGGTTTTGAAGCATTTTTCTGAATTGAAGGATCATCGGAGAATCGAGCAGCCGCAACTGCCAAAGTAGCACTCACCAGCAATTGTGATTGTTTTGATTTGTTACACCAATTATCAATGAATTTTCGACGATCTAGAATCGGTATAAATACATTGAATCTCTGAAAATAATCCTCGATTAATTTTCGACAAAGTTCACGAGACGGTGGTGCAGTCGTTATTTTAGTTTCAGTGATATTTGTCGACATTGGTGGTGATCCAAAATTAAAAGGAAGTTTGAATAAATTCGTTGGAATTTTATTCACTAAATCCACCACCGTATCAGGAAAAGTGTGATTTAGAAGTTTAGCGAGTGGTGATTTTGCATCATCGACGGATAAGGATGAATCGGTGTCATTTGGATTTCCCAATATTGGAAGGTCGATAACGAGCGAGGTTTTTGCTGTTGAATAATTTTCATCCTCATGATCATGACTATTACTATTATTACCATTATCGTCAAATTTCGTTTTCGCTAATTTTGATGCTAAATCTTCAAGTTTTTGTTCTAGACGTTGAATATCTTTATGTGTTAATGCCTGTGGTAGTTCTTCTTTTAAATTCATTTTATTTAGGTAGATATTCCCACGTAGTATTATTGATATTCGTATATAGTTACGTATGTATGTATGTCTGTATGTCTGTATGTCTGTATGTATGTGTGTATGTATGTATGAAATATATGAAATATATATCAAATTTGTGTCTTTCAACAAATTTAATTTGTCGCTCTTATTAATTCTTCTTGTCTAACTGACGACGAAGGTTTTTTTTTTTGAGTGGTAGAAATATAACGATGTGAATGAAGGTCGTTAATAAATAAATATGTAACGCTAGAGTGTAACTTGTTGATCAGAGCTTAATATTTGTGCATGCCGACATGTATGCTGTGTATCGGTATGCAGAGTGTGGGTATTACCCCGTTAAGTAAAAAATCCTCATCATCGTCATTGTTAGCCAAGCATTATGATATACAGTATTGATGCATACATATGCAAAAAATCAATGCGTAATTTAATTGTACACTGGGTCGTGAATCAGGTAGGTATTCATCCAAGAGATTTTATCGCTATATATGTAGCTCGATCTTTAGTATCCAGGATGGCATTTCCAAAATCGTAAAAAAAGATCAGCATTCTAGACCATTACATATTTGAATGAAATGTTTAATGTTACAGTGTACATGTATATGTCTATATGCGGTACGCGTGAAACAATCATAATGGATCGAGACTTTAAAGCCATTTGTACACATGAAAAATTGGAAGTACTGAATATTTATTTGTACACATGAGAATGTTTTTCCCACGCAAAATTATTAATAATAATACACAGCAGACGCAAAAAAAATTATTTTCTATGTTACCTGCATAAAATTCAAGATGTTCATTTCAGGGTGCAAAATAACGCTAAGGACTTTATCACCTGATTTTTTTAGGGGGACGATGATTATATAAGCAATATAAATAATATTGTGAGCCTTATAATAAATTGATAAAAGTCACTTCCCTTAGTACAGATTCCTTCGGGTATAAAGATTAATGTGTATGTTTGAGAAACGGTATAACGGTGCACATAATTGAGATGTAAACTTAGGGTTCCGAAGTTCGATTCGGGTTCAAAATCGAACTTTAGTTGGTTCGGGACAAAAGTTTACAATCAGGAAATGATCGACATAAATTTAGGGTGGGGATTTTTCGAAGCAAGTGTCCAATTGTAACGTAATTTAGCTCGTTCGAAAGCTGAGTTTTTTCTTTATCGGAAAATAAAAAAAAACATGTCAACCTTAGAAAATATAACCCAACGTCGCCAGCTTACAGATTTTGAACGTGGTGAAATAATCGGTGCATGGAAGTGTGGTTTTACTGAACAAGAGATCAGTGACAGTTTAAAACGACCAAAATCAACAGTCCATACTGTTATTGACAAGTACAAACAATTTGGACGGATTACTGTTGCTCCTCGGAAAGGTAGACCGAAAAAAATAACTACTCGAGCTGTTCGCCGATTAGTTAAAATTGTTAAAGATGATCGACGACAAGCTGTCGAAGAAATTACGACAAAATTTAATACTGCAATGGAAATTTCTGTTAGTTCCAAAACTGTACATCGTACTCTTCATGAACATGGTTATTTTGGTCGAGCTGGGTTAAGAAACCTTTAGTATCTGAGGAAAACCGTAAAAAATGATTAAAGTGGTGTTTGGAAAGAGAAGATTGGAATATTGAATGGGAATTAGTCATTTGGAGTGATGAATCAAGATATTTAATATTTAATAATAATTCTAGACAATGGGTTTGGCATCATCCACATGAAAGATATGATGTAGATTGTCTTGTTCCAACTGTAAAAAACAAAGATGGAGTAATGGTATGAGAATGCTTTACTCAAAATGCTCTAGGACTATTAGTTCAAGTTGAGAGTACAATAACTGGACTGGAAATAACATATAGTCAAACCTCTTTATAGTCACCATCCTTGGAAAAGCAAAATTTGGTGATTATAGAGATGATGTGATTATAGAGAGATTTTTTTTATATGTTTATATATAAATAGAAAAGCAAAATAGTGTGACTATAAAAAGATGTGACTATAAATAGATGTGACTATAAAGAGATTTGACTGTAATTATGTTATTTTTATTAGTATAGGTTATTTCTGGTCAGATGTGTGACATTGTTACAATTGGAAATTTCTATAATTTCATAATTTGCATAATTATTATAATTTCATAATTTTACCAAAAAAATATCAAATATATTTAATATATTGTTATCATTTTGAGCTTTTGTGTATGAAAGTATTTCAAAATGGCAATAATGATTGTGTTCACAGCAATTTACTTTGAATATTATGACTAAATGGAGTTTATGACAATAATATGATATTTTTTGACAAGATAAAAGGTGATGAAAATAAGACTAAACTAATAACAAGACTAAACTAAAAGGTAAACTTAATCAAAAATTCCAAAATAAAATTAATTTAACATGTCAAACTTGATATTAATCCAAAAGAAACTCAAATAAAACTTATGAACTCAAAACTAGAACTGGAGAACTTAAATTAAACTGAGAGAACTTAAACTGAACCAAAAGAACTTGATTTTTATTAATTA